CCGCGGAGACACGGTCCGACATGGCACCGTGTGCGGGAGATGAAGCTGGGCTCTGCCCCTGAGCGCTGTCGGAACCAGCGAGATTGGAGAGTTTGATTTCATTGACACAGGGATTATTGTACACGGAAGTCATTTCGTTCCAACGCAGTGTCTAACGGACACGCAAGCCTCGATGAGGCAGTAATCGATTAGAGCTGTAAATGTTCTCAAATTTAATGGGTGTGTGTGACGGCGTTACACATACCCTGGTAACAGGTGTGTGTGTCACACCAGATGGGCATGGTGTGACCACACCCGAACAAGAATACGGTACGTGGCTGGGTAGCCACGTATGCAGATTTTACTATACATATTTGAAAAAATCTATGCATTGAAATTAGGCGGCTTTGCCGCAGATAAAAATAAATAAAGTCTGTTTCGAATTTAAACCGAAGAGTTAATTAGCATTGTGTTGAGGTTGTGATTATTTTTGGAGTAAGCGGATTGCGATGTGCTAAACTCGTCCTTGTCTAAGTATAAAACGAAAGGTCGGTGACCTAACTTATGTTTCCTTTAAGCGCAAAGCTACGGCAGCCCCGCTGCAAAGAACCATAACGAGAGTAGCTGATTTAAATTCTCTAGTAACCACAACCTTAACGCAAGGCTAATTAACTCTTCCATTTTGAAACGTTAACTATTTCTCGGTCTTAGCAAAGCCGCCTATATCTAAATCTATATGTTTCCCTATCTATATAGTAAAACCTAATTAAATGTACAGCTACTAGCTGGTAAAGACTTTTTCTTTAGTGTAGCCACACAATTGTGTGACCCCGTCACACCCAAGTTGCTAGATATGAGGAGGCTAGCAACCACAGCATGATACGGCCCGGAGTAGCATCTCAGTATCTGTTCCAGTCATCATCATGATACCTTCAGAAGAGAGCGAAGAGGGAACGAAGGGCGAAACTTTTTGTATTTCCGCAAGTGCAAAAAATACCTCCTACCAGGACACGACATCACTTGCAGATCAAATATTGTGTTCCGCTTTTTATTGCCATGTTAACTGTTTCTCAAAAGAGGTTGGGGACACACGATAGTTCTCGAGAGATGCCGCACTTGTGGGATCCTTCGTGAGAGCTATAACCGTCACCGTTTTTAGAAAACTACAATAGTGTCAGTGAAGTATATCGTTCCCACGCGCCATTAACTTATCATGAATTCTTTTGACACTCCACACTCGGACTCAAGGCTAAAAATGTCGTACACAACACGGTCGCCAA